TTTTTGCTTACACTTGTGCTTTTTGCAAGGGAAATAGTACTCTTTTTTTACTGCTTTCCTATTATTCTTCATTGTAACGGAAGTAGTACTTCTTTATTTATTATTTTTTTATTTATATCATTTGTAACCAACGTATTCCTCCGTCACAAATGAGGACATTTTAATAAAATATTGGAAGTACCACCCCCTTCCACTTAAAAAAAAACACTTGTGATTATCCTCAACTTTATGAGACCTTAACACTCCTTTTACATATGCTTTGCTAGTCAACATTAATGGATGATTAATTCTATCTAGCTTTCATGACACGTAAACTCTTACTAAATGGCATTATTATCAATTTGTATAAACTTGTGCGATAAGTAAACACAAGAAATTATAGTTTTTATACTCGACTAGAGCATTGACTCAGATGAAGAGGTGTGCATTAGACCATTGATTTAACCGCGAGTCTGGTAATTGAGCCAGTGGATCAACTCTTAACAAATATAATAAAAAATACTTTTTATTATATAATACTTTTTATTATATAATATCTGTGTGGGTCTTATATAGTCCTATTGAGTCAATGGAAGAACTAGAAGCCAAAAATGGTTCATAAAAGCTAATTACTTGAGGAGAGAATTTATGCCATTCAAGTTCTGATCATTTTCACTCTTACAGAACAGAAAAGTAATAAGCACCTGAGAAATTATTCTTTTGTACACACACTCACTGGAAGAAAGTCACTATCTTCACACTCATCAGAATTCGGACAGAACCAAAACGGCCATCACATTATGATGCAACGACTCCTTTCCTCAGAAGGTTGTGTAGCAGCTTGCTGGTTCCTATTTGGCTCGGAGGGGTTGTATGTGAATTCCGATGTATCAAGTCCATACTGTTACATAAGAGCAGAAATAAAATCGGAACAGGGAAAAGTCATCAGATGCATAAATATTAGTAGCTAGTTATCATCTATTGACGTTTCATCCACGAACTTGTTAACCATAGAATCTCTGATAGTTTTCGCAGATTATACGAATATTATATATATTTTGAAACGCATAACGATGAAAATAGCTAGCACATAGTGCACCTTGTCCCTCATGCGTGCACTCCAAGCATCATTCCTACTTGGACGCTGATCGATGGTTCCAGCAACAGGGTCACCTGTCGTGGGAACTGCTGCTGTCTTGTTGAGCAATGGCTGCCGGGTTTGTTGCCTTGAACCTATAGACTCATCATCGCTATCATGATCGTAATTTGCCGGTCTGTTGACAGCCCTCACAACAAGCGCTAACACAAATACAAGCACCTGCAATTTCATAAGCCGTTATTGAATGAAACGACTAGTAGATAGGAAGAAACGAACAGTTGAAGATCAATCTTCGTTCTTGACAGTTGAAGCATTTCAAATCAGGGACATGCTGACTATCCCACCACAATGTATGTGATAATTATTAATGCAAGGACACATTGGAAACAGTGCATAAGATAACACAATAATTTGATATAGTTGGACAGGAGACACTTG